GATATACGATAGAATGAATGTAAAACTAATGTTCTCCCATGTAAACTATCACATAATTCACAATAAAACATTAAAAAAAAAAAATGTTGTTTCTTGGTGCAAAAAAAAAAAAAAAGATACCATTAAACAAGTATCATGCAAGCCACAGATGGTAGTAATCTGTTAATGAGAAAAAAGGATAATTTTCAGAATATCTAAAAGATTCTTAAGATCCGTAAGAAACAGTCAATTTTAAAAATGAGGAGGAGACTTGAAAAGGAATGTCACACACACACACACAAAAAAGATCAAGACCAAAAGAATTAGATGATGCCTAGCTACCACCACCAAAAATCATTCTGTTTTTAAGTGCCACTGAGCCTAGGGACACAGCAAAGGTTCTGGATAGAATGGGAGAGAAAGGTAGCGCACAACTCAAATTCTTAATTTTAAAAAAAAAAAAAAAAAAGGCCAGACTTACTGAGACCTGGGAGATCATGCAAAATTGGAACCCAAACCCCTCCCGGAGGTCCCCTCTCAGCCAAAAGACAGTGATTCATGAATAACACCATCTAGATGAAACCTAATGGTCAACATTTACCCAAGACAGAAGATGAGAAGGGAATGGGCCTAAGGAAGCCAAATTACCGGAAAGAGAAATCTACCAGAATGGTAACAATGAGAATGTGGATACATTGTGAAAAGTGTTGTGAATTATTTACTATGTCTCTTCTAGCCATAGTCTGTAGACTCCACCAAATATGGAGGAGGTAGAGGAAGATGCTGGATTATATGATTCATTTTTGAGTGGACTGTTAACAGGATTGTGACTGTAAACACCTGGAAATAGAATGAGATTGATCAATGTTACCATCCTGCTAAATTTGAAATGAGACATCTCAAAAGCAGGAGGGGGACTCTCACTGCCAGGAGTGGAGCGTTTCCTTTGGACCCCAAGATCCCCAAGTACTGAACTTTCTCCAACCACGGACAGAAAGCTGGGACACTGGAGGAGTGGCAGAGTAGCAGCCACAACAGGACCAAGAGTCAGGACATGAGCCAGCAGTGGGCCTCCCAGCCCACAGAACAAACAGAGCTGAGGGACTTTGGGCGCAAGGCTTGTTTGCAGGCACTTAATTAGGGGAGCTAAGTTTGCTGACCCACTGAGCTAGAGAGCCCAGTGCCTTAAGGCTGAGGTGGTGTGTTCTGTGAGTGTTTATCAGCAACCCTAAAAGGGCTTTGTAACGTTGACTAGGCAGAGAGAGGCTTGCCTATTGGCATGGCTGAGGATAGGCCGTCCTGACTAGAAGAACTGTGCCTACAGCATTTGTTAATTTCCCTAATAAACCTCATAAATTTGAGTCTTATCTGGGTTCTGTGTGGCCATTGCAACAAATTACTGAACCCAACTGAGGAGCAGAGAAAGTTGTAGGAGTTAGTAACATTTCCTGCAAATCTGTATAGAAGTTGAGAGCCAATTTACTGTGTAAAGTCTCCAAAAACACAATAAGGTATCTGTGATCAAACACACACACAAAAAACATCAAAATGGCTAATAAACATACTGACCTGAGGAATCACTGGGTAAATGCTAATATACCAGGAGCCCATGAATCCAGGAAGCAGTCACCATTTAAAAGATGAACAGGTACAAACACTGGCAGAAACCCTCAAACACTGCTGGCAGGAGCATACATTATTACACACTACGGAAAGCCATTTGAAAAAATGCCTGAAAAGCAGCTCTGCTCCTAGGTGTAAGGTGTATACCCAACAGAGTCACAGCCTCATGCAGAAAGATGCAGAACTGTTTGTAATAAGAAAATCCAAAACCCAAGAAATGGAGAAGTGCTGGTATAGGGTATAGGGTATTAGGAGGTGGAATTGAATTGATGGCAATAGTTTTGCTTTGTGTTTTGTTTTTATATGCATAAGTGGAATAGTACAGACATCAGTAAAATGAATGCTCTACGCAGCACCATGGGTGAATCTCACAAAAATCATGACAAACAAAAGAAGTTAAATTCAAGAGTGAGTAAAGATGATAAAACTCTAAAACGGGTCACATAAAATCCATGGCTTTAGGGTGTGAAAGTAAGAATCATGTTTACCTTTGGGAGGGGCATGAAGGACCTTCTGGGCACTGCTAGTTATTATGCACTGGGAGGAGGGTCAATGGTGTGAGGTCTGTGAGAATGCAAGGAGTTGCCCACTTATAATTGACTTACTTTTCTAAATTCACTTTAAAAACTTATAAAATTATAATCTAGAGTCCATCAACATTCTTTTAAAACACGGTAAAACAAATTATACTGAAAAATAACACAGTAGGCTTTACATTTCCCTATCTTAGAACCTAATACAGAGCCACAGTAGCTAAATAAAACAGCCTGAGCCCATCAACAGATGAATGGATAAACAAACTAGAACATATATATACAATGGACTATTTACACAACAGTAAAGAAGAAAGAACAATTCACCAAACACTTCATAACATAGCAAAACCTTGTTGTTATCAAGTGCCGTCTAGTCGGTTCCAACTCACAGTGACCCTGTATAGGGTTTCCCAGGAGAGGTTGGTGGGTTTGTACCACCAACCTTGCAGTTCAAACAAACCTTGGCGTCAGGTGCTTACCCTAAAGGATTCCAAACATAAGTACCCCAGAGTTAAATTTTTGTTAAGTACCACTGAGTCAGCTGACTCATAGTGACCCTGCATAGTGTTTACAAGGAGTGACTGGTGGGTTTGAACCACCAACCTTGTGCTGATCCCACAGTACCTGCCACACGTTAGGGAGCATTTCTACTCTGCCCTAGGTTGTTGCCCAGTACCATCGAGTGGGTCCAACTCAGTGATCCTGTACAGTAGATAGGATTTCTGAGGAGCAGCTGATGAGTTTGAAGCCGACCTTGCAGCTCAAAGCAACCTTGAAGTACAATGCTTATTAACCCACAGTGCCACACCAGGACTGCTATCAGTGGGCTTGGTTTTCAGTTTTCAATCCTGGAACGAAACCCACCTGTGGATATCATCTTTCAGCCAACCAGCAAACATGCCTATCAAGTGAACATGAGCACCCTTGAGGAGCAAGTTCTTCAAAACAACCACAAGCCAAAAGGACAGCATTTGTCCAAAAACAAGGTTCAGAAGGCAGAAAGGGGCATGAAAGGAATCCAGGAACCCAGAGAGGAAGTGGGAAGTGCACTGTGACGTGCAGGGAACGGCAACCTATGTCAGAAACAGATGCGTATGAACTGTTGAGTGGGAACCTTGCTCTGTAAACTTCTACCCAAATGACAACAAAAGGCTCCCAACCTTTTTTTAAGAGAACTAAAACCACCACCTGTAAGAACAAAATTCTCTATTTTTCTTAAAAGAATCTTACTCGGTAAGAGCAGGTATTACTCGGACAAAGAAACTCCATCTGAAATTCCCAGTTCCTTCGGCATTCCATTGATTTCTTTTGACCTCTGTTGTTAAATGTCATTTCCAACTCATTAGTGACCCTGTACAGGGTTTCCGTAAGGAGCTCTGGTATCATACTGGTTATGAGTTGGGTTGCTAACCTCAAGGTCAGCAGTCTGAAACTACCAGCTGTTCCGCAGATCAAAAAGGTGGCTTTCTGCTCCTGTAAGGTCAGAAACGCTATGCAGGGTCACTGTAAGGTGGAACCCACTCCACGGCACACCACCACCACCACTCTAGGATTTCTGAGGAGTAGCTGGTGGGTTTGAACTGTCGAACTTGTGATTTGAAGTCCAGTGCTGATAATATAGTGCCACTTTTGACTTCTAGTAGATAAAATTTAAAGTACTGGGTCAGCAGTTCAAACTAACCAGCTGCTTATGAGAAAAGATGAGATTGTCTGCTGCAGTTAAAAAAAACCTACATATACAGTCACCGTAAGATGGAATCAACTCGACGGCAGTGGGTCTGGATTTCTTGTTTTTTGTTGTTGTTTCAATTAAAATCATGACCTGTTTTGTCTCTTTCTCTATCATGGTTTTTTTAATTTAATTTTTTAATGCTTTATTGTGAATTATGTGATAGTTTACATGGGAGAACATTAGTTT